AGTAATCTTGGTAATCAAAGGGCTCTGGAGGCATTAACATTCCAATCTCCCAGGGGGCGGGTCTCTCCCAAACTGGCCTTCATTTTCTCCATCTGACCTGATCACCCAGCTACACTAACTGCCTGTCTTTAATTCTTGCTTCAATCCTACTGGAAGCCAGAGAGCGTGGGACAGGGGGCAACAGGGTCAGTACCCCAGGGCATGGAGCAGGGCTGAGCAGGTTAGAGAAGGGCATGGGAAAAATGATGCCTGGAATCATTTTCTTCCCAAATCCATTTTCAGAAGTAACACAGGAACCAGTTGCCCCAGGAGACTTGGTGGTGGGCATAGAGAACTGAGCACCTGAGAAGAAACAAAGCAGCCAGGAGCTGCGGCGACACCCGCGATCCCACTGACTCAGGAGCCTTAGGCAAAAAGATTGCAAGTTCTAGGCTAGCATAGGTAATTTAGTGAGACCCTTCCTCAAAATTTTAAAAAGTAGGGAGCAAAGGATGTAGCTCAGTGGTAAAGCACCACTAGGTTCAATCCACAGTACTGAAAACAGAAAGTAGCTCTTCCCCATCTGCTAGCCACCCTTTGTTGCAACTCACCAGTGTCGCACATCTACCCTTGGCCTCCCCAGTAACTGAAAGGCCAGGAAAACTCCAGCTCCTATGTACTGAGCTGTCAGACCTGCAAAAGGCACACCAGTCATGGTTGTATAAAATCCAGCAACTGTGATGTGGAGGTGCCACTTAAAACAGCATCAACCGGCTGGGCACACGCCTGTAATCCCAGCGGCTCAGAAGGCTGAGACAGGAGGATCGCGAGTTCAAAGCCAGTCTCGGCAATGGTGAGGCAGTAAGCAACTCAGTGAGACCTTATCTCTAAATAAAATACAAAAAAAGGGCTGGGGATGTGGCTCAGTGGTCGAATGCCCTTGAGTTCAATCCCCAGTACCCCAAAAACAAAAAACCAGCATCAACAGACCCACAGCCTTCCTGGCCACTTCACCCCTCAAGGCTTCTTAACCACCCCCACTAACACATCAGCCTCTGCCAGACCCCATGCTAAACACTCTGAATGTGATCTACTTGTGATCTACGGGGAATCTTCAACACAAATCACATCAGGGAGACTCCTTAGTCCCATATTCAGGATGAAGAAACTGAAAGTGAGAAAGCCCAGGTCCAGGAGATTAAATGGCAAAGCTTGATGCACAGACCCACAGTGATGAATCAGGAAGACTGACTCTCAGGGCATGTCGTTAGCACGAATGACAGAGGGCAGGAGGTGGGAAGCCCTTTATTCAGCAGCAGAATCAATGGGTCAAACATTCCATGTGGCTCATTTTGAGGATAGAAAATGGCAGCGGGATAAAATACAGGTCTGGGTTTTATGGGCTTCATTTAGGGTGGGTCAGGAGGGTAGTTCCTGGGGTTCACAATATTAGGGTCAGCTGATCCATTAGGGTAGGACGGGAGTGTGAACAGGGAATTTCTTGGGGCTTATTGTATTGGGGTTCAGCTGACCCATAGGATGAGGGGTCAGATGCCTGTTCAGTCCTTTTGTGTCCCTTCCTTTTGGCTGAGGCCTGGGATTTTAAATGACAAAAGCTTCAATTTTACCCCAGACAAAGCCATAGGGGAGACAGCTGCAGATAGGAGAGATGTTCTTGGACTTATTCTCCATATCCTTCAGATATTCCTTCTCACACTGCCAAGTCTTGGTAGAAGGCTCCCTCTGCCTGGAACACCCTTTCCCTTTCACCAGAAACATCTACTTTCAGGGATCACATCCAGGAAGCCATACCTGAATCCCCACACTTGATCAGGAGTCTCTTCTGGGAACCCCAAAGTCTTCCAGGATTTTTCTGTCACAGCTTGGATGGTTCTGCCTGTTCACTCTCTTCAGTTTATTTACTTATTTTACATTTATTTTTATTTATTTGTTGAACCCAGGACCTGCTAGAAATGCTAAAATATATAAAATAATAATAATAATAATAATAATAATAATAATAATACTGAGCTCCACCCCAGCCTTTTTCATTTGAGGCAGTCTGGTTAAATTGCCCAGGCTGACCTAGAATTTAACAATCCTCCTGCCTCGGCCTCCTGAGTAGCTGGGATTACAGGTGTGAGCCACCACATCTGGGTCCCCTTCACAGCCTTGAGCATCCTGAGCTGTCAATGCTTTATCTTCTGTGGACTTATATGTTCATTTTCAGTGCTGAGCTAGGTTCTGTCTCTAGTTAGAACTTAGAAAATTGTTGGTAAATAAATGAGAGAAAATAATTTCATGAGGAGTGTTCAAAATCCTCAATCCCAGTTCAGAAGTTAGAGAAGAACTGATGTAGAACAGAACCTGAATTTCTGGTAAGGTACAGGGAGCCCCTGGATGTATCAGGTGACCCCCTTTAGTTTCCAGACAGCGGGAAAGGGAAGTCACAGGAAATGATTTATTTAAAAAAAAAAAAAAGGTGTTTTAATGCCTGATACACCTGAATAGAGCTTCTGACTATATCAGCTTTGGGTCTCTGAAGATCAGAGAGGTAAAGCCTCCTTCCTACCTGAGGATGCACAGCCTAGACCTTTATTTTGTCCTTACCTATTGACTCTGCTGACTTCCCTACACCCTCCAGAGCAGGACAATCACAGCCACCCCTTCCCCTGCTTCCTCAGACAGCTGCTGTGATTTGAATAACCAAGCACGCTGTTGGATGTCCGGTGGTGACTGATTTGCCTGACAAACAATGCTCAACTCCTTCTTCCTGCCAGTCCTGGAGCCATGTTTCTCTCCTCTCACCATCCCCCAGAGATGCCTAGGCTCTTTTCCCCTTGCTTGATCCTCTGGGAGTTTTGTCTGTCCCCGAGGGTGCAGAGTACCCTCAGGAACCTGATCTAAAAGAAGGGGGATGAATGACAGGCCTAGGGTCGAGATTACTAGAGCCAGCAAAGTCTGCTCCCTGGGCTTGTCTCAAAATTTGCATAAAAAAGAGGTTCCTCCCCCACATCCCTCCCTTCCCACCTGGGATAGTGGTCCTGGGCTGAGGTCTGACAGCAGGTGGAGGAGGAAACTCTGCTTGTGAGCAACCACCTCTCCATTCCTGAGGTGATGCCTCGTGTCTTCCTGGTCAGGAGTCGGCGTCCACAACCACCTAACTGGGGCCACCTGCCTGACCAGCTCCGAGGAGATGCCTATATTCCAGGTGGGCCCCTCACTGAGCCTGGGGATGAGGGGCAGGGGAAGAGGCAAGGCATCACCACCGGCTTTCTCTCTTCAGACTGCAGCAGCCTGGCCGGGCTACCGGCACATCAGTCTTCCCGCCTTGGGGACCCCTGGGCAGCGGTGAGTCTGCAGCTGACCCTCAGGCCCCAGGTGTTTTGCCCCTTCCAAAAGCTGACAGCCCCTTACTCCTGGGCCTGTTTACACATGCCCTTCAGCCTCAAGACCTGTTTTCCCTGCTGGGAATGCCATTCCTGTCCTAGAAAGAGTTCAGTTAGGTCTCAATGAAGCCCCATATTCCTCGGGTAGGCAGCCGCAGATGTGCTCCAGATATCTCTACGTCCAGTGGGGCAGAGAAGGATCCCAGCAAAAGAGTGGATGGTGATTAATTTTTATGCCAGAACATGGAACAAGGTGATAAGAGCAGGATGGGGGATAAGGGTTACTGGGCCCTCTCAGAAGGGGTATTTCAGCTGTGCATGCAAGGGAAGAAGGAAAGCACTAGCCAGAATGCAAATGTGATCAAGGTTAGTTCACTATTTATTCTGAGCCAGGTGCTAAGCACTTAACAGTAGTAAGACAAAAATCCACACTGTAATCAATTTTTATTTCTGATTGGTGCTGAGGACAAACAATAAAACTAGAAAAATATGTGTTAGTATGTTGGAGGATGATACTTGCTATGGAGAAATGTCAAGCAAGGCAAGCATGATGGGGTTTGGTTAGGAAAGGCCCTGGAAAGAAGGTGGCATGTGTTTGCACTGATCAGACTCCAGCCTTCCTCATCCTGCATTCTGAGTTCTTTGTAAGTATTTTTATGCCAAGTATGGGCAGGGTCCAGATGGAGGGGCTAATTTCTGCATCCCCTTGGCAGCCCATGCAGGGAACCCTGGCCTCTGCTCCCAGGAGCCCTGGGACACTTGGCTGCCCTCTCTGCCCCAAGGCCTTCCCACTGCAGCGCATGCTGACACGACACCTCAAGTGCCACAGTCCAGCTCGCCGCCATGTGTGCCGCTGCTGTGGCAAAGGCTTTCACGATGCCTTCGATCTCAAGCGCCACATGAGGACTCACACTGGTGAGTTGTGGCAAGGACTGTGAGGGGCTTCTGGACCAGTTGGGATGGTGATGGTGCCCTGGATGTGGAATTTCCAGTGTCTGTGTACATAGGGCAGGGACACAGATAACAGGAGGCCTGAGACTTGATGTACCTCAGACCCCAGCAAATGGGTATAAGGTGATGCCATGGTAGTGGAGACAAGATGGACGCTGGCTACAGAACTCAGGTCCTAAATCGCAGGGTGCAAAGGAACATCTGCCACCATCTTCCCCAGGGGAAGGAATTTTCTAGTGAGGGACAGTGGTCACAGGGGTTTGGCCCATGTTTGTACTGGGTGGTGGGTAGCAAATGGGTCATAAATAGAAGTTTGATGAGTTTGGGATAGGGGCAGGAAATGCTCAATTTTGGAGAGGAAGGTGGCAAACCTTTAGTCAGAAGGCCATTTCCCTGCCCGACTCTGCACCCCTTCTTCACAGGAATCCGGCCATTCCGTTGTGGAGCTTGTGGTAAAGCATTTACCCAGCGATGCTCCCTGGAAGCACACCTTGCCAAGGTGCACGGGCAGCCGGCCAGCTATGCTTACCGTGAGCGCAGGGAGAAGCTGCACGTGTGTGAGGACTGTGGCTTCACCAGTTCACGGCCCGATGCCTATGCACAGCACCGCACCCTGCATGGGGCCACCTGAGACTGTACCAGCATCCTACCCATGAAGCAAATAAACACAGGAAACAAACAAACAAACAGAACCTGGCATTTATTAGGAGAAAGAGAGAGGGGTCACTCGGTCCAGCGGTGGCCACAGTGTGGGGCAGTACATACATAATACAGGCGCATGGCATCCTGGTAGAAAGGATAATTGGTTAGAAGGGTCTGGAGCCTCCAGAGCACAGCATAGGACCCTCCATCCAGCAGGGCCTCATCCCAAAAGAACAGCCAAGGAAACTTTCCCAATATTAATGATCCAATCCAGGATTCAGGGAAGGGCAAGATCACCCCGATATTTATATCTCCACCCATAGGGAAAGACCAAGCCCCAGGTTCCCAGGAAACTTCCCCCCCAACTCACTTCGGCCCGGGCACTATGTGACTGGAAGAACACCGCCTCCTTGTGGCCGCACCTGAAGGAAAGCCCCAGTCACCCAGTTTAATACACCTTTCCCACCTCTCTCCACCACCCAGTAGGACAAGCCATGCTCCCGCCCCATTGCTAGCTGCGAACTCACTTCTGGCATGGATGGTCCTCGGTCCGTGGTAACGTGGGGTCCTGGGACACATCAGCAATGATCTGGGTCAGTTCGCTGCAGGAATGGGGAGGTGAATAAATAAGCTCAGTCCCGGACTCCCAAGACAACACCCTTGCTTGCCCCAATCCCTGGTCACGACACTCACTCCACTTCGTGAGTGATTTTGTTGACGTAGATGCAGCTGTTATCGGCTTCCTGCTGATAATCACAATTCCGGCACTGTGAAAGGGCGAGTGTGGAGGGTCACCAAGAGACTAGGGGTCACCAATAGGAATGGGAGGGCAGGGAGATTCCCGGAGGGGATGACTACGGGCCGGATGGACAAGAAAGTGATAGGAGGTGAGATCAATACACTTCGGGAGCGAATAGGAAGTGTGCGTCACACTGAGTAGCATGCTGCCACGAGGGGATCCAGTGGGGCGGCTGGAGGCCACGGGGAGGCCTGCGAGCTCGCACTCACCGCATAAAGCAGAATGCGGTTCTCCTTGTCTTCCTTGGGGTACAACATGTTGTTACTGTAGGGAGGAGGAAGTCAGAGGTCAGCCCTTGAGCAAGTCCTTGCTCCCCTTCCGCACCTGCTTCCCTTCTCACCATTCCTGGCAGAATCGAATGCCCACGAAGCCCGGTTCGTAGGTCCCATCTGGTTCCATAGCGACGAACTGCCTGTCAAGCCTTCCGCACTTGCTCCGCCGCGCTACAGGTCGCGGGAAGGGTCAGGCCAAGCAGCGGCGCCAAAGAGGGACGGAGCCGCGCACGTGTATAAGCTGACGGTAGCCCTGTGCTCGGCTCTCTCCACGCTTAGGTTTGGCTGATTGCTTCCCTTGATTTAATTTTTTAAAAATATTCTATGGTAATTGCTTCCAATTTCGGCACTTCGCCTCCCCATTTTACAGAATGGGATGGATATAGTGCAAAATCCGGGAATATGATGCACAAAGTGACCCCCTAGGTGCTGGACATAAATAGAAGCAGCCATTACTCTCTGTTTGGATCCACGCCAGTGCACACGCGCCACGCTTACCCTTCGCGGACCGGGATAACTCCTGCCAGTTCTTCCTCCCAGCTTCAGCTTAGGCCCGACCCGGCCGTTTCCGGTGTGGCTATTGGAAGAATTGTGAACTATGGAAGGCCTCTCGGGATTGGCTGGGTCTAAGAAGAGGGCGAGTCCTTTTCCCGGCAGTGGAGAAGGGACGGCGGCGATTGGTGGATCCTAAAAGTGAGAGCGCGTGGATTGGTCTGGTCAGGGAGTGGGGGCGGGGCTGGTATCCCAGAAGCAGCGGCGGCGGAGCCGGCGTGAGACGGCTGTATCGGGCTGCGGGCCACGGCAAGGCGCGGCGAAATGGAGGTGGCGGGAATATCGGCGCCCACAGTGACCGTTTTCATTAGCAGCTCCCTTAACAGTTTCCGCTCTGAGAAGCGGTACAGTCGGAGTCTCACCATCGCTGAGTTTAAGGTGTGACTGGGGGGCGGGGTCTAGAGGGGTGGGGCAAAAAATGCGGGGTTTCCCGAAGGTGGGGAGGGGCCTGAATGTAAGGGGCGGGGCTAGAGATTTCTGAGGTTGGGGAGCCTGGAGACCCGGCCTATGCAGATGGGGCTAGAGAGAATCTGAGATTGCAGAGAGTAGGGGCGAGGCCAGAGAAAAACCCGATGCTCCAGAAGGCAGGAGCTAGAGTAGAGGAGGTGGGGCCGGGAAGGCCCCTCAGAACCTCCTAGGCCCTGGATGGTCTTTTAGAGAAGCCGGGATAGGGTGATGGTTGCTAATAGTAGGCGGAGCCTCAGGGCAGATGATGGGGTCACTGACACCCTTTCTCCTCATCCCCGCAGTGTAAACTGGAGCTGGTGGTGGGCAGCCCTGCTTCCTGCATGGAACTGGAGCTGTATGGAGTTGATGACAAATTCTACAGCAAGTTGGATCAGGAGGATGCATTGCTGGGCTCCTATCCTGTAGATGACGGCTGCCGCATCCATGTGAGGCCACCCAGCTGGAATCCCATACCTCATTTACTCAACAAATATTTGCTGTGCTTGCCCTGTGTAATAACCCATATAGGCCCTGCCCTCATGGCATCCCCAGTCCAGCACAGATAGACACCAATAGATAGTGACAGTCCAGAGTAGTCTGTGCTAGGATAGTAAAGGCTTAGGGAACTGGGGGTAGAAGTTTTACTTGACTCCACCTGGAGGTTTCAGAAAGAGCTTTCTGGAAGAAGGGACATTTGAGGAGACCTAAAGATGAGCAAAGAGGTAGAAGGGGCATGCCCAAGTAGATGGAAAAAAGTGTACAGAGTTCTAGAGCATGAGGTGAGCCTCTGTGAGCAATGAGGCTAGACAGGTTGGGAGAAGCTAGAATGCAGAGGACCTCTTTGTGCCTACATTGTTCTTTCTCTGCTTAGCATTCACCTCTCCCACCCCAGTCTTTACCTGGCACATTGTTCCTTAGACATCCCAGATGAACTCCACTTTAGGGCCTTTGCATGTGCTATATTATATTTATTATATTTTCTTCATGAATAATTCTCTATATGTCCACATGGCTTCCCCCTTTCTTCTTATGTTTACTTAAAATGTCATCTTTTGCTGGGCAAAGTGGCATGTGCCTATAATTCCAGCAACTCTGGTTGCTGAAGCAGGAGGATCACAAGTTTGAAGACAGCCTCAGCAATTTAGTGAGGCCCCTAAGCAACTTAGTGAGGCCCTGCCTCAAATTTAAAAAATAAAAAGGGGCTGGGGGTTAGCTCAGTGGTGAAGTGCCCCTGGGTTCAATCCCCAGTACCAAAAAAAAAAAAAAAGTCACATTTCAAGTGACACCTTCACCTGCCTAAATATAAAATTATAATTTCATCCCTTCCCCCCTTTTTGTTCTTTATTTTAGATTTTTTTATTTCAACACAGGGGCTTACTGGCTTTGAACTTGGAATCCTCCTCCCTCAGCCTCCCAAGTTTGCTTGGATTACAGATATATTGTCATTGCATCTGAGTATATTTTAAATTTTTGCTCATAGCTCTTATCACTCTCTGACATACTCTGGATTTTTCTCACTGGTCTGGTTTATTTTGTGTCTCCCTGATTTGAGTGTCCAGGAGAGTGGAAATTTTCATCACTCTGTTTCACTGCTGTGTCCTCAGCATCTGGAACAATGCCTGGCACAGAGGATACTCAGTGAATCACTGTTGGATGATGAGTTGACTCTACAAAATAAGACCAAGAGGTCAAGTGCAGGACGCATACCTATATCCCAGAAACTTGGTAGGCTGAGGCAGGAGGATTGCAAGTTCAAGGCCAACCTCAGCAACTTAGCAAGACCCTTGGAAACTTAGTAAGGCCCTCCCCCAAAATAAAAAATAAGAACTGGTAAAGCAGGAGTGCTTCGCCAGTACACCCCCCCCCCCAAAAAAAAAAAGACCAAGAAGATGGTATAATTATCCTCATTTTGCAGAGGACAAAACTCAACTTCAGGATGAAATATACTTTCTTAAGCATGAACTATTGATAGAATTTTTCATTTTGTCTGCACGACTCTAGAAGTTCATGTGTCCAGAGTACTGGTTCTTTATTTTCTGTCCTTTGTTATTCAGTAATTGAACATCTGTATTGTGCCAGGAGTATAGCTGTGAGTCATATCTGAGGAGGTCCCTGTTTTAGCTGTGTCTAGTGTGTGAGGTAGATGTTAGCCAAATGATCACAGGAGCAAATATGAAAGGTAAGTTTTAACTGAGGGCCTTGCAGGAGATCATGGAGCTGGGAGACCCTATACTGGGGTATCTGACCTATCATGAGGTCTGGGAGGATTCCTGGAGCGGGTGCTGTTTGATCAGAGACCTACAGAAAAGGGAAAGTTAACCAAAAAGGGGAAAAGGTGCTCTGGCAGGAGGACATAGCACATGCAAGCACCCTGCAGTGGGAGGGAGCACAGTGGGTGCCGGACTGTGGGTGAAGAAAGTGGAAACTGGGAAGGAGTCAGCCTAAGGGCCCTGCTCTGACTCAGGTTTTCACGAGCTCCCTTGGGCTGCAGGTGAGGAACAGACTGGGGGACAGGAGGAGCAGGGACACCAGGAGGAGGATACTGTAAGAGTCCAGATGAAGTGATGGGCAGGACTAGCAGTTGTGAGTCAGGACTCTGCTGGGCCCACAGAACTGAGACTTGGGGCTGACCAACAGCTACAGCCGAGGGATGCAAGTGGGGTCAGTCATGGGTGGCAGCACCCTCAATCAGGAGGGCTTCACACCCATGTGGTACATCCCAGGCTATTCAAGGATAGTGTCCCAGGGTTGGAACCTCTGGGAATTTTGTTTTTTTCCTAAAATTCCTTTTCTGTTGGTAAATATCAGCTACATGCACTGCTTAAAATGACAGTTTTTCAAACTTTAAAAAAATTCATGACCTAGGGAATAGAAATTCTTAGCGATCCTAGACTTGGAGGTAAGGACCATTTTTATTTTGCCGTGTTAGCCTAGTGGTTCAGACTAAACACTTTAGGATTGTCCTTGATCCCTTTCTTTCCCCACTCTTTTCCCCACTCCCAATCTGTCACAAACCCTGTTGGCTCCACCTACAAAATCATCCCGAATCTAAATTCTTCCCTTACTCCCACTGCACCCACCTTGATCCAGCCTTCACCCCTCCCTCCTGGACATCCCAACCCCTCCCCTGGCCTCATTGCTCCCATCCCTACCCCAACAGTCTGCAGCAGAGGGAGCCTATGAACCCCTGATCCATATGAGAGCCATCTCTGCACCACAATGCAGGTAAAACCCAAAGTCTACAGTGATCTGTTATCTTGCCCATTCTCCCACTAGCTCCCTTCACCGCACCCACACCAACTTCTCCTCCTCCAGAAGGTCAAGGATGTATCTGCTTCTGGTTTTCACACCTGCTGTTCCTTCTCATCCTTTAGGCTTTGGCTCAGACATCCCCTCCTTTTGAAAGCCTGCCCTGGCCACCTTCCCATGCTCCTTATCTTCTTTGTTGTATTTTTGTCTTTCGCCCTGGCCATCAAGTAGTGTTTAGTCCATGTCTCTATTTGTTTGTTTACGGCTGGGTCCCCCAGCACAGCAGAATAAGCACTGCCTGCGGGCACGGGTTGTCTCTTTTTATACCATGTTCCCAGTGCCCAGCTCAGGACCTCCTGGGTACCTTTGGAGGAGCTCCATAAGCAATGAGTGGGTGAACACTTGGAATAGCTCAAGAAGAGGTGTTCTGGAGATGGGGGCCATCCTGCGAGGGTCCCAGAGTCCCAGAGAGGATAGATGTACTGCCTAGAGGGCTATGAGCCAGGTCTGATCTCTGCCAGTTAGATTCATTGACTTCAGGGCTATCAGTGATATGGGTGCTAGTGTGTAGGGTACATCTCGGGGCAGATCCAGCCTCCAGGGTTTTGGATGGCGAGGAGAAAGGAGAGATGGCCAGTGTAGATATCTACACTGCTGGGCTCAGGAGAGGGGAGATAGCTTGGATAAAGGTGAAGGTGTCTTTTTCAAGTCAGGAAAAACTTGAGTGTGTAGAGTGCTCTAGCATGCAGCTGTACCCCAGCATCCCAGGCCTTCCTGGCTAGACTGATTCCTGCTGACCTTCCTCTCCTCACCACAGGTCATTGACCACAGTGGTGCCCGCCTTGGAGAGTATGAGGACGTGTCCAAAGTGGAAAAATTCGAGCTCTCTCAAGAAGCCTATGACCAGAGGCAAGGTACAGAACACATGGGATGGGATGGATGAGGGTGTGTGGTAAGAAGCCAGGTAGGACTGAGAGGACCATCACAGGGAGGTCAGAAATCAGGCAGAGGGCTTGGGAAGATGGAGGAAGGGGTGAGGTTCATTGTGGGTACATATGAGGGCATGGGACTGTGGGTACATGATTAAGGTGAACAGGGCATGGGGTAGGAATGGGGACTCCTAAGTATGTGAGGGGAAGCAAATGAGGGCCTAGGAAGATGAAGGGGGCCTTTGGGGAATGCAGGAGAATGGTTTGTGGGGAGCATTCAGGGCCAGATGGAGGCATGGGGTGGGGCA